AATTTGCACGAAGATAAGATTGTTCCATCATAATCGATTTATCGATTACATAATAATGTGATGTGTCTTGGCAACAAAATCGTGTTGTACACACGCCTTTACATCTATCGACGCGTACTTTGCACATCACTTGGCCGAAGATATTCAGTCAATCATTATTGCACCAAATAATCAGCGAAAGTCAATCAAATTCAAATTGAATGCTGAACGAACATCCGAGCACAATAATGAAGTAATAAAGACGATGCCAAATACATAAATATCCTGACACCATTGAATATTGATGATGGATATGCGGTATGAAAATGAATAATCAACAGTGAAAATGAAAATATGGTTTTAAATTAATATTGCGACGACGAATTGCAACATTGTGATTGATATGCCTTGCGTGGTTTTTGCTCACATTCTAGCTTAAAACTTTTCAATTCTAAATTCATTGGAATTTCATTGGAATTTCAAATATTCTCAAATATTATCACAATAGATGCATTTTAATGGGCGAACAAAATAATTCAAATGCTCGAACCACCGAAGAGAATTTTATGGGAAAAGTTATGCCGATTTAATAAAGTAATAAAATAGTTCACTTCACTAATTTCCATGGAATTTTTTTACATATTTTTTTCTATCATCCGAATGCAGTAATCTTTGAACAGTAACACCTCGCTATGATGTAGCGACAATTCCGTCATTTAGGGAAGGAACAGTTTCACAACCATAAATTATCTGACCCACCATACTGCTGGCCGATGAAAACTTTAAAATCGAAGGTATTTTTCGCTCTTCGATTTTTATCGACCCCAAAATTAAAGCTGTGAATACATAGACTTTTTGATACATGTCAAAGAAGCGGAAAATATTTGAATTTTAACTTAAAAAAAAAATTGGTAAAAAAATCATATTTTCCTTTATCTGGCGAATTACTTCAATGGCAAAAGAAAAATCTGTTTCCGTTAACTAGAGTTTTCGATATCGAAAAGTTTTACTGTATTACTATGTTTCTTATTACTGCTGTTGCTACAACAAAGTCTATTTAGTTGCTTGTAATCATTGTCAATCGAAGTTTTCTAATTGTTGTCGACGTTAATTTGAATTGTTGGTGTGTCGTTTTTTTTATGTGGGAAAACTTCCATTAAAACTAATATTTCGCCCGAGCGATAAGTTGATACTGATGGAAGTGAATCAATCTTGAAAGGATACTGTAATTACCAAACCATTTGGTAAAATGCTATGCTTTTATTTAATGAACGGTAAAATGTTCACTGCTCTCTTTCTCTCGCCGCATCTTTTGTCGATCCAAGCGTCATGCCACACACCACTTTGCGTTGTGTACTATGTTATCGTGTGAACGGTATAATGTTATCGACAATAATATTACAATATAGAGGTTTGCTGAACACACTACCATTAAAATACGCTTTTAATCGTTTCGAGTGTTTGCTCCGTTAGTGATGCTCTAAAGTACGAAAGCAAAAGCATATCGGCATCCATTTAACCGTATACATTCACACACCCACCAGGAATATCGTGGCGTAATGAGAATGATGACTTGATATTTTATGATGTAGGAGTTGAAGAAAAAAAAATGTTCGTACAAAATCATTTTAGCTTTGTGTGTGCCGCTCTCGAAATTGTGTAATCGTTCGGTAGAAGTTAAAATGTCAAGCTACGTTTTCCATGAAGCGTCATGCTCAATTACATTTTCGGTGAGAGAGAAGGAGGAATAAAGAAAGAGAGAGAATGAAAACGACACTTGAACTTGATATCTTATGAACCGGAGATGTACTAAAAATAAAACATGATATTTTCAAAAGATCAAATTTATGTCACCAAACATTGTGCACAAACACAGAGCATGATAGAGAGAGAGAGAGAGAGAGAGAGAGAGAGAGAGAGAGAGAGAGAGAGAGAGAGAGAGAGAGAGAGAGAGATGAAAGTGGAAGAAATATCATAACTCATAATATTCACAATAAAGATTCGCTACACTGTATCAATAAATCTGTCAAACTTGTACTGCCTCAACATCGAAGTGCTGATTTTGGCCCATGAAATGTAACTTTTGAGTCAAAGTATGCATTTGATATCAAGTAAATTGAAGTTTATTCTAAAAATTGTATTTATGTGTGGTTTCAAAATCAACAACTTCCTGCCATGTCAATTGACTATGATTTTCGCCGAACAAACGGAGTCCATCGAATGTCGAGGCTCGGGTCAGGTGCTCCTCATTCAAAATGTGAACAACAAAACGACCAGATGATAACAACACACAGAGCTCAATGAAAATTGACAATCAGCACGGACACATGCATATTCAGTGTTGGAAGTTTGTGGGGAAACTGACACACATAAAAGACAACCACATTTGATAAGAGGTAAGTCAATAGCGATAGATTCAATGCTTTGCTTTTACCACACACTATAAAATACATCTACATGCAATTGTTGCCAAAATTTAGCATTCAAAGTGCTACACACTTGTCAGTAAATGTAGAGACAGGATGACTATGCACTTGGAAATATCCACAACCACATACACGCGCGCATGGACAATGTTACCGGAAATGGCTTAATGAACTTCTTGATAAGAGCTTCAGCATAAGCGTATGAAAATCGCTTTTATCAAGAAATAAACAAATGAAATAGTAATATACTGAAAATCTGATATGGAGATCAATCGATTTAATCATTTACTTAATTGCCTCCACGTTCTTTCCACATTCAAACACCGGTTCAGGCTTTATCTCCCATTTATACTGCTTAATACTCCAGCATAACACAAACTATAATCCGATTTTCATTTGCAATTGAACGAATGAAGATTATTATTATTAAACATTTCTCTCTCGTTGTCAAAATCGAAAATTGTTTAGCATATCAAACTTAAGAAAACACGTGTATTGTAAACAATTGTCTATCATCAAAAGACTCCGAGCTTCAAATTGAAATAGAGATAAACCACATACAATTTGAAACATGCAAATACGACGACAAACTAACACAACACACACACACACATGTGAACAGCAACTAGTTTCAATTATTTTTGAGTTGTGACTTATAAATATTTTAGCATCGCACTTATGAATTTTACACCATTCAATCAATTTAAGTGTAATATTCGGACGACAATGACTGTTAAGTATTGTACTCATGTTTCATGCAATTTTTACGACATATTTTGATTCGTAAACAATATTATTACAGGAAAAATCACACAAATACAGAGAGTGAGAGAAAAGAAGGGAGAAACATTAAAAATTATACAAAGTATTGTGTCTGCAGAACGACGAACAAAGTAAATTCTATTATAATTTCATGAGATTTTGCCGAGTAAAACTTGTACATAAATTATTGTATGTGTACATGACAATAAATTTTGACGAAAGTTATGAGCATACACTCATACTCTGTGTGAATTATTCCAATTAATAAAATAATTCGAAAGTCGTTAACGAAATATGGCAAATCTCCGTTGTTAAAATGGATCAATGTTTCATATACTTTTGGCCGAAGCTTTCAGTATATTTTGGCGTGTTTGTTTGATATGATAAATTTTAAATTATCGTAGAAAACACCGAAAATGCTCGTGATTACATACATGACGTACTTTCTGTCAAATTTAAACGTTATAAAATAATCCCATCACAAAATTAGATAAATTTTAAATTTATGTGCAAATGTATATCGACCGAAATTTGACTACCCATTCGGATTACACACTTTGCTTTAGTTAAAATAGCATCATTTCTAATCTGAATTGAAAAAAAAATCATTAACCAATGGTCATCGGAATTACAACTATATTTCGAACAATAAACAAACATTGAAAGTTCGTAACAGCTTCATGTGAACAGCAAGGTTTAATGAGAGGATATAAAAGTTCGAATGTGGTCATGTCAAACTGTGGATTTTTCATTATTCTTGGATTCTTTTGTTTACTATATTTATTACATTTTCAAAATTATTTCTGATTCATATAATAATATGATCGAGAAAAATTGAAAACCAAAAAATTTCTTCGTTTCAAAATGTCCAACATCTTTTTTTCTCAATTCAATCTTCTTTAAATATATGTTGATTTTTTTATCAAAAGTTATATTATTACCTTCTCACACTCGCATGTTGTTTTATTTATGTTCTCTCTTTCGTTCGCTCTCAAGTTGAATTCAAAGTTTGATGGTGATCATTTCAAGCCGGTTCATACCTATAGACGAAATAGATTACCAAAAGCTTCTGCTTTTACTTCTCACATAATATAATCGCATTAAAAGAGTCTAAAGTAAATGTGCTGAAAGATGAAAGGGCCAACGATTCGATGCACATTACTCCGGAATTACAGTGAACACGAGTCCTGTGGTCTGTATTGTGAGTGCGATTTCTGGTATTATGTGTGTGCTTGCTCTGGAAATGTCAGCATTGGTAAACCGTAATGCGATAAACGTTTTATTCAGTTACAAATAGCAAACTAACAAATGTCAAAACAATGCAGTTTTTCTCAATACACATACTACGTATATCTGTCGCTTGTCGTTTTTGGTTTTGCAAGCATTTTCACCACTAACTCTGTACCATATGAAATCAAATGCGACGTTATTTTTTGAACTTTTCGCATCACCAACAATTCGAAAAGCCAATTACTGGAATCAAACGGGGAATATGTATTGTGATACGTCAACGAAGTAAATTTAGGTGATCAAATTACTATTGATTGGGTTAGAATTGAAATTTCACATTTTCATGAGAATTTCGTAGTTTTCATCCATTTTTGGTTGTCATTAACTTCCATTTAGAAGGAACAAAAGTGAAAAAAAAAATCAAATCTATTTTAAGCCGTGCAACCTTTACTTTTCGATTCAACAAACATTTTAGCATTATATTTATCCATTTTATTCATCGAACCCAAAATTTTATCTAAAAAAATCATTTCAAAATTATTCATTACATAAACCATTCATTTCATTTCACTCAAGCCGAAGTCAATAATTAAAACCAACATGTTTTGGCCATAAAACAAAAGTTTTGGTTTCACATTTATTCAGTTCGAAAAAATTAAATATTCTTGATTTTTGTCCAATCAATCCTTAATGTAATTTCCGCAAATGATTTACTTTCTCCATGAGATTTCCAATTCTTGTGTCGCAAAGTTCATTGGCCCAATGTCCGTCTCGTTTGAAATACGAACCGATTATGGCGGCATTCGATTTCGGAAAATATTCTTCAATATTTTCATGTGTTACCCCCGAACCAATTATAATCGGTGATTTACATTTGTTGTGAATGGCGTGCAAGTCATCGTCGTTGACAGCGCACCCAGTTGCAGTTCCTACGTGTGAAATAAATGCAGAAATGGTAACGAGTGATGAAAAAAATATGATGTTAAAATAAATGATTGGTTGGTTCGTATAATAATGGTACCGGTAAGTATGACACCGTCGGTCAAAAAGAATTCAGCGGCATGCACAGTTTCAAGCAGTGACACATCATTTGTAATCGCATGTGAGCTGTGCTTTTTCTTGAGATCGGTGAAAATAAGAATGTTCTCGGCGTCAATGTGTTTCCGATAGCGAAGTAAATGGCCAGCACAAGCGTCGGTAAAACCTTCGTCAGCAACATGCGAAAATACAAAACCTTCAGCTCGAATAAATTGTAAATTGGTCGCTTTTGCAATGGCCAACGCTTGACAATTTGCACTTGCCAACACTTGAATGCCACACGGTATTTTCGGTAGAATTTCCTTGATTTCAGCACTCACACGACTCATCGATGCAATAACCTCGGGGCCAATATTCGCATTTTGAATGTACGGCACATCATGCATGTTTTCAACTAAAACTGCATCCTATTCATGCAATAACAAACCATATTGATGCTATTTTTACCTTGAAAACATAGTTTCGATATAAATAACTTACGACATTGTGTTTTCGATAGATATTTGCTTCGTGACGAGCCTGTTCAACGATTGCATTAAAATTTCCATCATATTTTGGAGTACCTATCGCCGGCGGCGGTCAAACATTTCTAATTAGAAAACCTAACTCATTGTTTCTTATTTAAAGTTGAACAAACCTGGTAACGCTCTAAGGTGAATCATGCCAATGACTGAAAACAATTTTGTACCGAAAACTTGCTGGAAACGTTGCATTTTTTTTTCTATGAAAAAAACAAAAAAAAAAGTTATTATATTACATGTTATTGTACGATGCTATTATTCCACGCGCACGCACACACTGTGCTGCTTAAATAATGTTTCATTTTATAATTGTGATGTGAAGAAAAAATGCATTCATCATTTCATAATGACTGTCAAAAAGAAATTTTTGCGAAGAATAAATGAAATAAACCGAAAAAAGAATTGTTGAAAGAATATAAAAATATTTTGATTTCTCTCTACATTCAGAACGACTGAAAACGTTTGATTCGTTCTCCCTGCTTTTTGTTACCCTCTTCGAAACTCTGCAGTAATTTTCTGACTATTTCTCTTTGTCTAAGCCCGCACTCCAAATTTTACGTTACCATCGCCTTATCAATGTCATAAGATGCTTTGAATTGAATTCATACACAAATGTCGTGGCAATCCTGTTGTATGTTGTGTGAGATGATGCGTGATTTATTTAGTGTGATTCAAGACAAAAACTAATTTTAGCATCAAAACCACGCACCACTTTTGAATACAATGCAATGTTGTTGGGTGCACACGATGCCACTGCAGAACGAAATAATTTCGAATATTTTTGTCGAATGTTCTTTTTTTTTGTATTCAACACCGCCCCCAAAAAGTAGCAAAAAGTGAAGAGCTTAACGTATATATCAATTTCAATTATCATTTTAAAGTTTTTGCCACGAATTTTCACTGTGGAATGCACTCGGTTTCTTCATCAATGTTAAAATTTGTGTTTGTTGAACATTGCATCAAAATAACTAAATAACATGTTTTCGGTTCAGTATTTTGTGTGATATTCCGACCGACTAATATTTATTTGAAATGTTCAAGCAAATCACGAAAATTTGCACTCAGACATTGTCATTGTTTCTCTTAGCATACAATGTTGCTTCAAGCAATTTCATTTAATTCGATAGAATGAACACAAGTGTCGAGTGACGATGTTCAAATGTCTTAATCCAATTGCAGCAGATAACACGACACAAACACTGAACTTATACAAAATACACAATTCTTGTAACAGCAACACACTGCACACTGTATTCTTTGAAACGAAAATATTTATACGAAAATAATGAATTACAGTGAATAGGATATGCACATAAGCACTCCTTTTTTATTTGATGCGCCACATTGAACGCTAGGTATTGGCTAATTCCAAGTCACTGATTTGCTACATATAAATATTAGCATTTAGAGACAAGTTACTATTACCAGTTAATTTTATAAAAATCTATAATGCACTTGAAAATTAAGAATTATACCCGGCGGTTTTCACTTACAATACATCTAAAAAATACACGAATAAAATACAGTGATCCGAATAAGAGAATTCATTCATTTTGCGAATCATTTTTCAATTTTATGGAATTTTGTTTTGAAATTTTCATACTTGAAGTACTTTTTTTCTTCAAATAGGTAGTTTTTGCACAGCTAAATACTATTTGCACCGCAAATGAATATTTTTTTCCTAGAAAAAAACTGTAATTTGATCGTAAAGCGAGAGAAGAGTCATATAACAATTTGAACTCAACTATTTGATGGCTTCTCCTTGGAGACTCACTGTTGCATATGTGTTCGCTGATGTGCAAGTATTTTTGTCGTTGTGGATTCGAGTTATTTTATCGGTAATGTCATAGAAGCTTTGGATTTAATAAGCCATAAAATAAATTCCATCGAAGTAAACAATATAACCATGTGACTTCGGCATGAATATTGCTCCTCTAAAACATACACAGTGCCGACGATATGTGCCCAAATATGATGGAATGAGAGTGAAAAAAGAGAATGAACGTGTAGTCAATGTTAAAATATCAAGTAGATGATGCGTGAAGCGTATCTCGCTACGTCGTGTTCGATACGTTGGCATTGAACATTTAACAACGTCAGCATGGTATCGATATTAAACAATGCCCTTTAGCAAACAAGAAGACAGCCCACTTCTTGTATGATTTAAACAACCTACATCGATTGAATGTACACAATTGTGAACGAAAATTGGAACAACAAAAATCTTAGCCAATTTAGACATTGCTTCGACTTCACATAAAAGCCTTCAAATTTAAGGGTGAACTGAAGCAATTTCTGTAGTGCAGAATTTAAATACACTATATCATCACTGTTTTGTGGGTGCACGCGCCCATTTTTGAATCGATCAATCTTACCCATTTATTTTATGTGTTTAATAAATAACATAAACGTATTTTCCTATCGTAAATAGCTCAGAAGTAACACACTAAACGAACATATTTATGTTATTATTGTATCAGCAGTATATGAAGATGTTATTTGAGAAAACTCAATCAATTGCAATTTGCTGATCTATGCACCGATGATGAGAGTTAAGCAAGTAAATAAAGACGTGGCTGCAAGCATTATGACATGTTGTTTGAAATGCAATCGAATTGATTCCAGTCGTCGTGAAAACGAATTTAATATCTAATAAAACAAGAGACAAGTAGCAAATTAACCCCAGAGTCGACAGCTTTTACGGCATCAATCAGACAAAATTCGACTGACATGACGAAATATTAAATAAGACCTTGAACAACTTGCATCAAATTAGGTTCTTTACTTTTTACAATATGCCAAAATAATCTCACATTGAAAGGGAATCCTTGATTACCGTCTTAAGACAGTCTATTTGCTTTGTTTTTTTTTTTCATCAAATTCCGTAAAACACTTAATTCGCAAGCATGGCAAATTTTTGAAAATATTTAATGTCGCTTTGCCCGCAAACATTTCACGAGATTCTATTTCAATTTTTATTGCAAAATTACATGTCTAAAATCCACAGTTTCATCCGCTCGAATGGTACAGCAAAAGATTTTTCAGTCAATAAAAAAAACCATGCAGAGAGATAGAAATATACACATAGAAATTATTATCTGTCAAGACATCATCTTATCAATGAGAACGACAATGTGCGCGCCATTCGTGCATTTTACTTTCACTCGACGTTGAATTTAAATGGAAATCGACCATAAAACTCTCTGCCTCGCATACAGCTTAACTGCCTTTATCCGCGTCGAATATTTTGCGGTGGTGTTGTTTGCGATATAACCGATTTAATATTTTATAAGATGCCATCACACAATAATGGTATAACATTTTTCGGTGTATGAATGAATATGTTACCATCAGCATTGAAATGTTCGGCAAAGCTAGTAATTTTGTTGAAAATAGATTGGCTTAGATAATGTCTCACTTTTCCGCGAAAAGATATGCCAAAGGGCAATTGCCTTTTTCAAACGGAAATGAAAAAGAATCCAAAAACATTAGTTTCATTGAGAGAATAATTTCTGGCAACTTTGAAAAAACAATTCTGATATAATGATATACCGGACACTCTTGTTACATCGATTGAATGGAAAATTGATTCGGAAGCAGGCACACATTTCAAAAATCATTAGCCACACACTTTTTTGTCAGTTTGAAAAATAAAATTCCGTCGATTGAACCGCAAAACGATCAAAATTACTTTTATTCGATTGGCATGGTCTTCATTGATATCAAATAGTCGTTTTGTAAAATGGTTACATTCACAGTTTTGGCCAGCACAATGTCAAAAACAGAAGCACAATTCATTCTAAAATCCCAGATGACGACTGATACACTCAATACGTGTATTGAAATTATTTCGAACGATTTTTTTTTGGAAATTTATTTCACAGTTTTGTGCAAGTGAATCTGTTTTCGACAGTCTCGAGTGTAGCATTGCCGCTGCAGTGCTTATCAAAATAGTTCAGCACTTGATTAGCGTCATTCACTTTATCGGAAAATATCGCTGAATTATTCTCTGCATTTCGAATTTCGATACAGTTTGCTGTATGCTACTTATTGAACCGTCTGCCATTGTTGAACCAACATTTCATATTACGCCAACAGCTACAATTTTTGAATTGTTCTGATTATTGAAACCGTTTCTATGCATACGATGTACGTTTACGAATCTATATCATAATTGCGATCTTATTTACACTCGACGGAAATTTTTATAACCGATTTTTCGCTAATCCAATGCGTTGAGCTTAGCCCAAAAGGAAATCGGTTTCAAATTGATATTCAATACAAATTCCGATTTTTTCGAAATATTTTGAATTGACGTCAATTTTCATATTTATTTAACCAAGATATTTTTATACAGACAAAAACTGTCTACAATCTAATTTCCCTATTTTCTCCTTTTTTCTACACTAATCAAATTATATCGTTAAGTTCAGGAACAACTAATTCATTATTAACACAATATTTTCGTCATTATCATCCCGTATTTTTCTTTCATTCCACTAATTTGGTTGTATGTTTTGTGTGTGTCTACAATCAATCAATTCAAATCAAATATAACACAACACATTTTCACCCGAGCTCGAAACCTCACGTACCAAAAATCCCTATTAACAAAATGGTTTGTCTAAAAATTGCACTGCACTGTTGACAGTATACAATCGAATAGTAATATGCGCAATAATTTGACGTGTTATTACGATGCATGCAAACATTTGTAACAGAAACCAGACAATACGCACTACTCGCAGTAACAGCGAAACTTTTTATTGTGATATCGCCAAAAAGCGCCAAATAAATTCATTCATAAAATCTCAATTACACTTACAAACACTTTGAAAGCAATTGTCAACAAAGATTTTACACAAAAATGTGATTTTAATTATTTTATCTGTGGTTCCATTGAAAAAAGTTTGAATAAAACAAAATATACAGTGAGTATTAATTTCTGTGTGTGCAAATATTTAAATAACCTACTTGAATTTTGGTGGATTTTGGAAATTAAAATGCTAACTGAACTGTTTGTGGTTTTGACTATGAATACAATTCACTGATTATGACATCTTAAAAAAAGCCGGCTGTGTGCACGACCAAAATAAAACTGAACTGCAAAGACACAAACCCAACGATTATCAACAAATGTTCCCAGCAACTGTAATCACTTTATCATCAATAAAAATCAATTTGATATTTGTATAAGCTTGTATGTATTTCTCTGATAAGCATATGATATTACAAAACATATACATGTATGATTCGATTTCACAATATAAAAAATGAATTGATAATATCGACCATTCGACAATAGATGTCGCGAGTTACGCAACAAAGGCTTTCTATTCAATCGTTTATAATACATTGTTCATCTGGTTTGTGGTTATGCTATACATGTTTTCGTAATTTAAATTGTATTCAAGTTTGAACGGTGCAGATTTGAAATAAAGAGTCTTACGGGAGTGAGACAAACTTTTCCGCACGGTGGTAGATGCGTATTTTATTAGCTAGTTCAAAATAATATTTGGTCGATTTTTCAAGATTTTCAAGCGGCGAAAAGTTCGAGATCAAAAAATGTGTTCGGCATCGAAATATTCTTTATTTTAATAGAAAATGTACTCGCAAAAGATTTTTCATACTTTCATGATGAACTCATGAAAGTATAACATTTGAAAGTATTAAAAAAATATGTCTGTATGCTACCGTTATGGCGTGAAACTTTGCACAGGCTATTTTTTTCACAAAAACTAGCAATCTGAAAGTTTTGAGAAATTTAAACGAGAATTAAGAGTACCTTACATACAAAATTTAGTATGGGAGGTACCCTTAATTATGATTGAATTTTCTTCAAACTTTCAGAATGTTATTTTTTTTGTGTAAATTTTCACGTCATTACGGTTGCATACAGGGTAGCTTCACGGAACGCAGAAACACTAAAATGAAGAAAAAAACGCATAAAAATGTAAAAGAGATAGATAAACCGTGATGGTTGATCTTAATAGCAGTGTTAAATGTTGTTACAATGAGATGGACATGTCAGTCGAGTTTACGATCACACAATCGGCTTTTTAGGACTTCATAATCAGCGTATTTACATTCGAAATCACAAACATTGACGAACTAAAATTGAAGTAAGTCATTCAGAACGATTATGAATAAAAAAACTCAGTTACCTGGAATAGGTGTGCTCCAAAACAATTCTTTCGCTAGACATTTCCAATAACTTTTTGTCTGTTGAATTTCTTTTATTTCAATTTTTAATTTATTAATACAATAATATTTCAATAACTTCTGTCAGATATATTTGAATGACTATAATATAGAAGACTGCACAAACTAATTTCTAATTAAACACTGTTTAAGCCGTTGACACCTTTACTTTAAGGAAATGCAATATGAACATTGCTGTCAACTTGACCATATAAGAAATTAGTTTGTGCAGTTTTCTAATTCAAATATATCTGACAGAAGAAATTAAAATATTATTGATTAATAAAAATTAAAATTGAAATGAAAGAAATTCATTTAAAAAACACATCAATTTTTTGAAGAAGAAGAAAAACAGTAGCAAGTCCAAAATAGTTAGTGCATAATGCAAACAATCAATTTTATTGTTTGAGATATATTCACACTATAAATGATAATAACAATTGTTCAGCGATTTCATAATAGATGTCAGAAGTTGCGCTGCTAATGCTTTCTATTCAATCGTTTCTAATACATTTTGCATTTGGTTTATGGTTATGCTAAAGATGTATTCACATTTTAAATTGTATTTAAGCATGTACGGTGTTGTTACCGCCGAAAATCGTCTCTTCCACATCGACTCTTGATCAATTTTTCAAAGTCTTGGTTAACAGTACCTGTAAAATGTTTTTCCTAAACGAACTTATTCCCGAAAACTAGGGATATTTTTCGTGAAAAAATCCAAAATTTTCGAGAAATCTTCTGGAACTTAAATCTTTTCAAGAACATTTATGCTCTTATTTTTTTTCATTAAGGTATCTAGCATTCTTCAGAAAAAATAATATTCAAAATAGAAAATTCTATACAATAAAGAAAAAACATTAAAAGGAAAACATGACGGCGATCTTCAAGTTTTTATACTTTTTTAAATCAATTTTTCGTAAAATGACAATTTTTTTCGTAGAAAAGAAGCACGCGTTATCGTCCCATGAATTTCGCCAAAACAGAATAAATTGCAAAACAGTTATGGCTTAATCGTTTGAATTTCATTTCGAAAACTATTTCGACGTATCAACGAGCAATTTGAAAATAACTACTTGTTCATGTTCAAAATGTTTAGAAAATACTCCTTTGGGAAATGAAACAAATTAACTCTTTTCTATCCTTTAAAAAAGATTATTTTTTAGATGGCCATTGATAAAGAGAGGTCTAATATAAAAGCCTAAAGAAAAAGTGATAGCAAAATGACAAGAAACAAAAAAAATAATCTTTGTTGACAGGAATGTTTTCTATTTTGACGATGAAAACTTGTGAACTTGGATGATCGTGATGACAAATAAAATAAAAAAACTCTACACGTGTATGTGATGTTGAATTTGTCTTCGATAAAAATTATTTGGTGTGTTTACTTAAAAAAATGAAATAAAGCAATTTGCGACAAAATTTGCCATCTGACACCCAAATGATTTAAGCACACAAATTAAGAAAGCGATAAAAATGTTTAAAAACAATTGTGTGCATTTGAATTTGAAACACACTTACTCTCGCGCACACGCACACACCGTTAAAACTACCGCGCTCAACAATACTAATCGGTGAGAGTTGTATAAACAACGTAAACTCATTACAAACCCACTCAGAAAATAAAACGTAACGAAGAAGAGGAATAAAAAATATATTCGTGCATTAGGAATAGAGAAAAAAACAAACACCATTAATTGTATCGCACCGCACATCTAAGCGATGAAATGTATAGAATATATAATACAAAATATGAACACAGAAATAGAAAAAAAAAAACAGATAGAAAAATCGCAAGAAACAGCAGCAGCAACAATAACATATGACTCAATGGGGCAACGTACCTTAAAATGTAATTTTCGTACAAGTTTCTTTTCTATATCTCATAGATGTTTTGTTGCCAAAAAAATGAATATGTGTTGGGGATTTTTTTTATACAATTGCAGTTTCTAAGTAAATTTCAATAAAAAAAAACAGTCGTCATCACGGTATTGACTTGTTTTGTATTATGCCTGCTATATGAAGTCGAATTGATACTTGGTTGTAATAAAAAAGGTTAAGAGCATGCGATTTGACCGATTAGAAACAATTATTCAACGTATGATAAAGCAATATATGCAAGTGGCAACCAGCACCGATCTAGTAAAGCACTAGAAATGGCGTTAATCATAAAAAATGAAGCACGAAAATCATTTTAAAAAAATTAAAAAAAAAGAACCACGCCAAGACCACCAAGAGTCCAAAAAAGCGATACGATAAAAATTGTATAATATTAGAATAAAGAAAAATACAAAAATGTGCCGAGAACCATAGAAAAAAAACTAGCGCTGCAAAATAACCATTAAAAAGAAGCATTGCGAATGTAAGCATAATATAATGAAGAGAAAGAAAAATATACGAATTAAGCGCAACAACAAATGTTCAAAGGAATGGTGAAACAAAGTAGAAAAAAGAAACAAATATGAAGTCGAATTAGAAAGAAAAAAAAACAACGTAAAAGCAACACCAACAATACTAGTACGCACATCTGAAACGCGCTCCGACATGCCATTACACATACATACTCATGCAAAATCATCAAGCAGCAGTAACGAAAATGGTTTGTGTGCACGCCAAACGGAATGAGCAACGAGCTTTTTTAAACGCATTTTTCGGACAAATGATACGAGTTGGTGGTGCCTCGTCATATTTACAAAAATGCGCACTAAAGTTCCGGAATCCAAATGGCTCCCCATCTATCGAAATAAAGGGTCGTCCTTCCACATTTTGCTTTTCAATGGGACCCAATTATCGAGTGCAAATTTTCGAGATGTTTTATATCATCAATACCGCTGTGACAACCACAAAAAAAAAACAAAGCCTTATTGCATCCAAATATTTAATGCTTTTTTATATTCGTTTTGAATGCTCTAAATTGCTTTCTGAATGACTGCGTGCCCTTTGATATTTATAAACATTTTACTGTGTTTTGGCTGCTGCCGCTGCTATGAAAAATGAGTTACAAGCCGTGCGCATATAGTATTATGTAATTTCTGCTTGTTGAACTGGAATGAGGTGTTTTGTGTGTGCGTTTTGATTATTACAAACAACACACTTGTAAATGACTCGTCATTACAGCGCTCACCATGATTGTAGTGGGCTTTTTTTGGTGGAATACGATAGAGTTGAGTTTTTCATGGTTCATTTTTTTTGCGCCTTCTATCATCACTTCATGCTGTGTATAGTTATTTCATTTTTTCGGTCGCTTTTCGGACTTTTATTTTGTACGTTCATCCGAATGCGTATGCGAAATTTGCGATTAAAGATAATAGTGCTTATCGCATTGAAGCAGATAGGCATACGAAACGCATTATTGCGACAAATGCCTCGCTCTCTAGCAATAAAAAGCAAAGAGTGTGTACTGAATTCTTTCAACGCAAGATTATTTTTTGATATGTGATTACGTGCGCGTTTGAAACATTGTTCAAACAGGCAATAATTTAGAAAATCCGTCATTTGGTTTTTTGTTTCTCGTGGCACCGAAAATTGCTAACGCATTGATAAGAAATTATATGGTTCAAATAATGAGTTTCAACTTTATGTGTTATGGCAATCAACATTTTCGGTTTTACTTTGAATTTAAAAAAAAAACAGATGTTTCCTTAGTAAGTGGTTTGATTATGCTCTCGGTCAATGTTGAACGCGTTATTCTATCAAATGCAAATATGCTTCATACAGCATGAACACTGTTGATTGAATGATAACAATCGAAATGGTTGGCCGAAATGAATTGGTTCCTCTTTTGTCACGTCCAATCCCACTTATACTCGCCGTTTCGATTTTATTATCATCAAAAAAATGGCGTTTCATCATCTACGCCTTACCAGAAGCAGAAAGAAACACCAAAAAAAACCGAAAGAAATCATAGTTTG